TGATATAAATAACACATACAGTAAGCAGCTATTAGTAGAACCATGCTGAACTCTCATCCATGTGGAAAAGAGCTGGGCGTCTACCTTGTAAAAAAAAATTTCACAAGACAATCTTTCAACTGTTTTCATTCTATGATGTGAGGCAGGGTTGACATCACCAGGTTGCCATGATACAGTGTGCTGCAAATACACACTGCCATTTGTAAACACTACCTATTAACACTGTTACCTGAATGACAAAGAAGGTTTTTCCCTTCCAGATGGAAACCTAAACCACTGATCGATGGCAGAATTTTGCTTAAACGTTACTAAAAATAACATTACAGACAAAATGGGAATAAATATTGACCTATATAAGAATAACTCAATGTTATGTCCATAGAAAATAGTTTGTAAGGCAAACACCATTGTATTCACATGCACACACACAAGCATGTGTCAGAATACAATGAAGCTAATGACAAATTAGCTTCAGCTGTAAACAATCTGATTGGAATGGCATGACACTTCATTTAGCGGCAGGACAAAGGCTGTATCCGAAATCGCCCCCTATACCCTCATTCACTATTCCCTACATTAGTCCACTCATACAGTTCACTTGAAGGAGTGAATGAAAACGATTGAGTGAATTCGGACATTGAGTGCACCGGAAGGACTCCCTCTTTTGCATAGCTTGCTTGCTGTTTAATAATCATTTGAAACGGGCAGCTCGAGTAGTAAGATTAAAGGATTTATCTCAAACTCTGTCACGGAAATTATGTATAAACCCTAGTTAAACAATTTAATAGTGAATTTACAATGAATTTGTAGCTGTGTTGTATACGCTGTATTACGCCGTGGACGAGCGCGTTGTAAAATGAATGAATGGATGATTTAGCTGTGGGCGCCGTCTTCTGGTGAGACGTGGGAATTCATTTGGCGTGCGACTCTCACAGTGCATTATGGGGATTCTCTAGCCGTTAAGTTAGGGCTTGTCAATAATTCAATATCAATATGTATCGCGATATAATTTTTTTCAATAACGGTGATATGATTTTTAAACACATTTCCGATATTTCGATATACATTACCAGTTTCCCATACATTGATTTATTTGTGCCGTTTGACTTCGTTGAATAAACATGAGCACTGCACGTTTCAAAATCATAACACGGCGCGGGTGTTTTATATGAATGTATCTCTGAAGGGAATTGACTGTCTTCAGAAAAGTTTCGATGGCATTTTCATTTGATCTGATAAAGAAGCGTTCATGAGCGGAGCTGCTTTGATTACAGCCATTACTGGAGAAACCGCTAGTTTTATCACTCTAAAAGCGCCTCCTGCTGGCAGAGAATGAGTTTTCATTTTAAATAAGCCCGTCTCCAGCAACATTTCCAGTTTTTGTTGTTGTTCAATTTTTTTGTTTTCTGCAGCGACTCGGAGCACTTTTCATACCGTTTTTTTCTGGCTGAAGCACATTTGTTTCACTCTATAAGAATAATCAGCCTACACTACCAGTCAAAAGTTTTTGAACAGTAAGATTTTTAATGTTGTTGTTTTTTTTCTCTTCTGCTCACCAAGGCTGCATTTATTTGATCCAAAGTACAGCAAAAACAGTCAAATGTTGAAATATTTTTACTATTTAAAATTGCTTTCTATTTGAATAGATTTTAAACTGTAATTTATTCCTGTGATCATACATAGGTAAATTTTCAGCATCATTACTCCAGTCTTCAGTGTCACATGATCCTTCAGAAATCATTCTGATATGCTGATTTGCTGATTATCAATATTTAAAACAGTTGAGTTTTTTTTTTCAGGATTCTTTGATGAATAGAAAGATCCAAAGATCAGCATTTATCTGAAATAAAAAGCTTTTGTAACATTATACACTATTCCATTCAGTATAATTTTTATTATTTTTTGGGGAAAGAAATTATAGAAATTAATACTTTTATTTAGCAAGGATGCTTAAAATTGATCAAAAGTGATGATAAAGGCATTTATAATGTTACAAAAGATTTCTATTTCAGATAAATAGTGTTCATATCGATATCGGAATTATCTCGTATCGACCGAAATTAAGAAATATATCGTGATATCAATTTTGGCCATATCGTCCAGCCCTACGACGTTTAGTACAATCGAGCCTGAACTGAAAATATTCGTTGCAACAAGCTCAGAGAGAGCAAAACCACACACACACACCCAAAAAGATATTACTGGAGTACATTTGTCAGCAGCTATTCACTAATACGTCCACACTGCGGTCTACACACAGTTACTAATAAACCAAAAGTACACATGGACACACTTTGAACTTTGCATAAAAAGTTGATAAAAACATGCATATACTTATAAAAACATTTTAAAAGTTTGGGGTCGATAAGATTTTAAAATATTTTTGAAAGAAGTTTTTTATGCTTTATATGATCTTTTTAAATGTCATTTTTATTGCGCATAAATACAGTAAAACCCATGATATTGTGAAGTATTTTTACAATTTAAAATAACTTTTCTATTTTTTTATTTTACATTTTCAAATGTAATTTATTCTTGTGATAGCAAAGCTGAATTTTCAGCAGTCATTACTCCAGTCTTCCGTGTCATATCATCTTTTTTATAATATTTTTAATATGCTGATTGGTGCTGATACATTTCTTATTATTATATGCTGAAAACAGTTGTGCTGCAGCTAAGAGAAACACTGAGCACTCTCAGCTAAGCATCGGCGAGACATGCACCTTCACACTAGAGTTTACAGTGCGTCA